TATATATATATATATATATATATATACATACACACACACACACATATTCGCTTACATAGAAGTCCACAAGATATATTTTTGGTGAAAAAATACACAGTATAGAACAGCACTTACATTCGATCACTTTCATCTATACATATATCTATTTGGGCACACAGGTACAGGCAAATATCCAGAAAGACATTCATCAAAGGGCTGACAATGGTTATAACAGGGGTGAGATTTCCAGGTAATTTGTACTTTCATTCTTGTATTTTTCTTTATTTTTGAAAGGTTTAAGATACTCTCCATAAACAGAATAAAATCTTCAAAGAAAGACACACAGAGAGAATAGGCCCTTAAGCGGGCTGAAGAGGGAGCAAGGACAGAGGTCAGGGCATCCTTCTCCACTGCACTGGTATTCACAATCTCATTTTATTCCCAAAGGAAAACTTCATTGTGGATTAATTCATGCAGGTAGAAGCACCCCACCCCCACCCCACCTGCAGTTTCCCAAGCATCAGACTCTGAATACAGTTAAGGGTTCATTTAGGGCTGGGTCTAGCACCATACTGTGGCTCAGAAGGATCCTTGTGTTCTCGAAAGACCTCCCTTGCCCTCTCCTCTGTATGTGTTAGCTCCTGCAGAGTGATGATCAGATTCTCAAAAACCTGGGCCTTGTTGCTTTCATTGACACAGGTTTCTTTTGAATGGCCCTCCTTACCACAATAGGAGCAGCGAATTATGTACTTGCGCTTCCTGATTCTACGAATATCCCCAGGACCATCATTCTTATTCCCAGAATGGCCACTGGTAGAAGGAGATTCAGGCCCATAATTACTGGGGGGATCAATGACCACAACTTGGTCCTGAGATCTGGCCCTGCCTCTGGGAGGGGTGCCTGAGGATGACAGTGGAGGGTCCCCAGACTCCACCAGGATCACATCCTCATCTGAGTCATCAAGGGTATCATCTATCTCTATCACGTTGCCATTGTAGTCTGCATTACTGATCTCTATTGGCTGAGGGCCCTGAAATGCCACAGGGCTAGCTGCCCTCTCCATTACTGGCTCAGATCTTTTGGGTCGCTTCCGTTTAATAAAAGCGTCATCCCAATCTTCTTCCTCCCTTATCATCCTGATTAACTCCAGGAAATTGGGAAGATGCTCCTGCTCATTTGCATACATCCTGAGAAGACCCTTAAGCCTGAAGCGCAGGTCTCTATTCAGCTCAGCCCCTGCCAGGAGCTGGCGCAGTCGAGTCTGGTTTGCATCTTTCTCAGCTAGGATGCCTGCCTGAATAGCATTCTGGAGCTGCACCTCCAGACGGATCACATAAAGGGAGGCTTTCTCCCCTTCCGCCTGCAGGGTGTTAAAAAAATTACCATGGGCGGTCACATTGCTCTGAGACTCCCCAAACACCAGTTTCATTGCTCGCAAAAAATCCGACACATTCAAGTTGGGGTTGGCAGCCTGGAGCAAACGCATGACCTCCCGGGCAGGGCCCCTAAGGGTTTTCATCAGGCGGTTGAGCTTTTGTTCTTCTGACATATTCCAATCTGGCAGGACCCCATTGACTTGGGTCAGCCAGTTTTCAAAGGTTTCTTCCCCCTGGGCTGGCACCACCCTCCCCGAGAACAACTTCATGTTTCTTTCTGCCATGCTGATCATTAAAGGACCGAGACTCTGCCCCAGAGACCTCAACATGGAATGGGCCCAAGGAGGTAAAGGCGCATTCTGCCGCCGGCTGTTACCCACATGTGTAATGATGTTAGCCATGACTCAAGGCGATAGGGTATCTTAGTGCAAGATGCTCAGGCTTTTCAAAAAGCCTAATTTGCAGGAATACCCAGAGCAAGTTTCCTGGACCGTGCCTTGTAGGGACTGTAAGAGGGAGAGAAAAAAAAAAGTCAATAAAGTTGCAGGGATCCCAGTCTGCTGTAGCATTCTTTAAGCTCTTGAATACCCTGCAGTAGGTTTTATCTGCCCATTGCCCTAAAAAATATCCTTCAGGAGATTCAAAATAACAAAATAACAAGGTGTCCCTGCGCTAGACTTTTTTTCAGTCATTATCTATATCCCTTCCCACCTGTCCTCCAGGACGGGCAGGAACTGTTGCTTAGAATTGTAGGTAAAAACCTTTGAATCCAATGTTGAGCTCTCAAAAATAGAGTGCAACGGTGTAAGTCTCACAGATTTATGATAATAAGTAAAATATCCATTGATCTGATGGTCTTAGATCTCAATCACACCCCTTTCTCAAAGTCTACCCTGTTTTGGATTCTTACGCGTGCTGGGAAATTAGTGCTTGCCTTTATTTCATGTCCGGCCTCTGCAACAGGTGTCTTCAATGAGAGAGCTTGTCTCCCTAGTATGGCCGATCTTTGTCCACAGGGGGTCGCAGATCCGGGTGCTCTGAGCTTGGAGACTGCGCCACTGCGAAGGGATTGGAAGGGTCAAAGACGTCAGAAGCAGCCTCACCCGTCATGCTGCTACCCGCCCCCACCTCCACTATCACCAGGCAGAAAATTCCTTCTCCTATCTTTTGAATACCCCCACCCCCATTATACCCCCGCCCCCCCGGGAAACCATAAGCCTACCAGTTCTGCAATCAGACGCACAGAATTCAAGTTCAAAATTGGCTTTGATGGACCGCTAAGGAGAAAGGGAATAGGAGTTAGATATCCCCACACCTCCGTATTTCATTTCAGGAAGAGATGAGATGCAAAGGGATTCAAAGACAGCTTGAGAATCCTCTTTCATGCCCCTTGCCACCTCCCTAAAAATACCCCCTCCCCAGCCCTGGCAAATCTTACCCAGTCGCATCCAGGTGAACCCCACCTCCTTCCTCAGTGCAGCCAGGTCACGGGAGTGCGCCTTCCCCTGCTTTGCAGATACTGATTCTCCTAAGCCGGTAGCCGCCCGGCTCAGAACCGGTGGGCCTTCACTCTCTATTCTCTGCGTCATGCGAATTCCGCATCCCCCCCCCCTCCTTTACCTTGGCTCCGCAGGTGGGCAACGGATGCTCTGGCGTCGCCTACAGTTCGGTTTCACCTTCCAGTCTCTGTGGCCCTGCAGGGGAAAAGGATGGCGCCTTCTCGGCTGCTAACGAACGCGGGCTGCCAGACTCTGCCAGCACCTCAGCAAGGCTGCCCAGAGAGGGGCTGCTGAGTCTAGGCAGCGCGGTTTCCAAGGCAGCCGCGGCTGCCCCCGCCCTCCGGCTCGGCCTGCCTGCCCAGCAGCGGCGGCTGCTTTTAGCCTCTGCCCATTGAGACAAAAGAGTGTGACGAGTGGCGGCGTGGCCAATCAGCGGGGCGCGGGGGCCGCCTCCCCGCACAGCCAAGGGCCCTGATGCTCAAGCTAGCAAGGGGGGGAGCAGGCTGGCGGGGGCTGCGGCAGACAGGCGTGGGAGCCAGCGCGGCGTCAAGTGCAGCTCGGACCCACGGACCGGGCCCATTTACATTTCACTCGTGAGTTTGCTACTTCCTCTCACTTCCCTTCTTCCAATCCCCTTCCGCCTCGGCTGTCCTCTGCTCTTTGAGACTGGATGCTTTAAACACGAGGTGGGACAGAAAGCAAGTGAACAATGAGAGTTCCTCACCTTTGTATAGAGGGAAGGGGGTGGGTGGGAAGCATCTACTTTTTCCGCTTTCCATGTCCAAGTGCGCTCACACGGGCATCTCATTTATTCTTCACAGTCTCCTTGAGAAGGCGGTAGCAGTGTGCCCATTTAACAGAGAGGGCGACATAAACACCCAGGCAGTACGGTTAGAAGTGCAGAGCTAAAGCTGACACTCAAGTCGTCATATCTGACTTCAAAGGCAGTTCTTTGTAAACACTCCTTTCTGCCATCATATTAAGGGTTAGTTGTGAAAAGCCTAAGTGGGCACGAGAGGACCAATTTGGGCTGTATAGAATTAGCGAGCAAAGACTGTTATCTCCGTTTTACAGATGAGGAAATTGAACCAAAAGGAGCTTAAGCGTCTTGCCCTGTATCCTGCAGCAAATAAGTAGCAGTGTCCGATTTTGCACCCCAGTCCGTTGTTCTGTTGATGCCAGGTTTTTGCCCTGCTGTGCTGCCTGGAGAGCATTTTATGTAAGTAGTCTCAAACCATTTCAACAGCAACCTTGGTGTGATGGTGGTGCTGAGGGATGGGGTGAGGTGGGAATGGGGAAAACAAAAGAAGAGGAAGGCAATCTTTATGGTACCCATTGTACAGAAGAGGAAACTGATGCACTTTTCTTTTCCTTTTTTTTACACTAGATTTTACCCCACAACAAGCTGGCCAGTTTATACAAATAACATTATTTCTATAGCCCATTATGACCCCCAAAGGAGACAAGGCTCAGAGAGATGAAATAACTTGCCTAAAATTATCAGGTGAAGTCAAAATTTTGAATGAGTCTCTGAATACAGAATTCATGCTATTAACCAAAATGTGGGTAACCAGGCTGGCTGCCTCAGAGTCATCTTGGAGACCTTTGCAAGATGCAGATTCCTGGGCCATGTCTGGGGGTTTTTGTCAAGGACTAGAAGTAAGCAGTGTGATCTGTATTTTTAACCATTGCTGTAGTTGATTCTGAGGTGTAGACCACTGTTCTAAGTGCCACACCATGCCGTAGGTTGTAAGTAAATGGGCCTGTCATCAGTATATTTGTCCAGAGCATACCTGTCATGAAATGTTACTCCCGGGCAAAGGTTCCTTCCTAGGGTCCTTCCTGAAATTGTATGCAAAGAATTTGAACTCTGTGTGTTTTTCTAAGTCTACAGCTTTGTCAATGTTTGAATGGATCCATGGCCCCAAAACAGTTAAGAACCACTCTGCAACAGTCTTTCTTCATGACATCTTCCTCCTTCAACTCCTGCTTGAGGAAGAAGTGTGAGAAATGAAACACTATTTGACCTCACCCCCACACCACAGCTCTGTGCCGCTGATATAGCTCTTTCATTTCCTGGCTCAAGGATAGGTTGCTAGGTTGCCCTTCTGTGAGCTCTTCAGGAGACTTCTCCTTTGCTGGCTTTGGCATCACTGGCCCCAGAGAAGGAGCAGCTCCATGGAAACGGCATGCAGGGCTGTCCAGAGTGAATGGGCCATGAAGCCAGTGGGTAGAAAACCTGCTCCATTTTCTTTGACTTCTGGTTCTTAGAGAGCAGGTATTACTTCCCTTATGTAGCCTGTGACCAGGAGGCCTTGATGGGACTTGTTCTTGATTCCTGATGCTTGGAAATAAATGAGCAGTTTGATGGTGTTCAACCCTGTTTGGTTCTGCTTCAACCTATTGAGGTACTTCACCTGTTTCTTTCTGCCCTCTTATTTATAACCTTGTTATCTGGAATTTCTTGGAATAACCAATCCAGATTTGGAGGGGGGAAGCACCTTCCATTCCAGAATTGTGGCCTTCCTCTTGGGGATGGAACAGTGTTTTAGTGGTGGTAGAAGGTGGAAAGTGCTAGAGGCACAAAGAAGATGGATTGTGCATCTTGCACAGGCAGGGGTGAGGCTGGCAGTAGCAAATGGGTATCCTTCAGACTCTTGCTTCTGCTCCCAGTGCTATGATGTTTGACCCTGGCCTCTCAGCAGACTCATATTCTATGTTTTTATTGGCCTTATCTCTAAATTGTGTATATGCCGTTGGACCTGGTGAGGGTGGAAACAGATAGGACCAAGAATATATCTCAGTGTTCTGACAAAAATACTAAAGGCAAATGAATTGTGTAAAGGTATAGGATTGGGCCATTAGAGCAAAGTAAGGGTCTCTTTGAGCAGCCTTGGGAGCAACATTGCAAATTTGCAAGTCCACTCCAATTGGATACAAAGATTCCTTATCTCTGGCCTCATATGTGGGAGTGTGTTACAAATGATGGTTCTAATGAGACCACATTTTCCAGTTTCAACAAATAAGCCTTTTAAAAGCTTGAAGGTTAGGAGATAAAGCTCTCAGATGATACAATAATAGCAACTTTTGGCTGCCTGCCTCCTCCTTGCCAGGAACTTTTCATCTGTTATTTCATTTAAGTTTCTCAGCAACGTTTTTGAGACAGGTATTGTGATCCCATTTTGTAGAGTGGGAAACTGATTTTCAGGGAGGTTAAGTAACTTGTTTTAGGCCACACAACTTGAAAGTAGAGCTACTGGACTCTAGCCCAGGGCTGGCAGGGTCCAAAGCCCATGAAAACTCTACTGTCTTCCAAACAAGCAATTTAAAATGCATTCTGCAGAGCTGGTAGAGCACTTGCCTAGCATGTCTAAGGCCCTGGGTTGATCCCCAGTATTGTGGGGGAAAAAAACATTTGCAGATGACCCCTGCATACCACCAATGGCAGCCTTTGGAATCATTTAGTTGTAATCTTACCTTTTTGATATTATCTAATTTTTAAAAAAATGAGACTACTAACATCAGTTATGGAGCAACTTATATCCTCAGATGTTTTTGTTGTTGTTGTCTGGTACTGGGGATTGAAGCCAGGGGCGCTTAACCACTGAACCACATCCTCAGCCATTTTTAAAATTTTATCTAGAGACAGAGTCTCACTGAGTTGCTAAGGGCCTTGCTGAGAAGCTGAGGCTGGCTTTGAACTTGCAATCCTCCTGCTTCAGCCTCCCAGGCCACTGGGATTACAGGTGTGTGTCACTGCACCTGGCTCCCCAGTTTTATATGATTCAGAGGTGCTTAGCCACTGAGCCAATCCCCATCCACAGCCTTTTTTAATATTTTGAGGCAGGGTCTCACTTAGTTGCTTAGGGCCTTGCTAAATTGCTGAGGCTGGCTTTGAACTTGGAATTCTCCTGTCTCAGCCTCCTGAGCCATGATGGGATTACAGGCATGGGCCACTATGCCTGGCTCATGCAACTTTCTTAACAGTAGTTCATAAATAATGACACTAGGACTCGAGAAGGTTAGGAGGCTTGGCTAAGGTTATAAATTTAGGAAATGGCAGAGTGAAACTCAAACCCCAGGGCTGCCTGACTGCAAAGTCCATGTATGTTCCCTGCAACATGCTGCAGTGGGGAAAACAAATATGGCCGTCATTCCATATTGGCTCCTCTGTCAGCCACGGCTCTGTCTCCTTTCACTGTCTGCTGCCAGCCACAAGCATAACTCACACTTTTTTTTTTGGTACCAGGGATTGAACTCATGGGCACTCGCCCACTGAGCCATATCCTCAGCCCTATTTTGTATTTTATTTAGAGACAGGGTCTCACTGAGTTGCTTAGTGCTTTGCTTTTGCTGAAGCTGCCTTTGAACTCGTGATCCTCCTGCCTCAGCCTCACTAGCCGGTGGGATTACAGGTGTGCACCACCGTGCCCGGCTCCACTCATACTTTTAAGTCTGTGCTTTAGGCCTCTTCCTCAGCCTAGACACTTGCCCTCAATCTTCTACCTAGCAAAAGCCTACTCACTGTATAAGGATTGAAATCAGATGCCTTTCCTCAGAGAAATATTTTGTTAACACATATTAATTGTACATATTCATGAAATTCAGTGTGATGTTTCCATATATACATACAGCATAAACTGATCATATCCACCCACCCTTCTTCCACCTTCCTCTCACCCTCCCATCCTCCCCAACCTCTAGTAATCACTATTCTACATTCAAATTGACATTTTTAGTTTCTACATATGAGAGAGAACATGCAGTACTTCTCTTTCTGTATCTGGCTAATTTCATATAATATCCTCCAGTTTCATCCATTTTGCTAAAAATGACAGGATTTCATTGTTCTTTATGGCTGAATAATATTTCATTGTGTATATACCATATTTCTTTATCCTTTTATGTATTGATGGGGAGCTAGGGTAATTCCCTGTCTTGGCTACTGTGAAGAGTGCTGCAATAAACATGGGCATGAAGTACTTCATTGGAATGCTGATTTCATTCGCTTTGGATATATACCCAGGAGTAGATAGCTGGATCATATGGTAGTGTTATTTTTAGTTTTCTGAGGAACCTCCATATTTTCCATAGTAGCTGTACTCATTTATGTTCCCACCAGCTTTGAGTGTCCCCTATCCTGAGTGGAACACATTGTTCTTGTCTTTCTGCTTCAACTTTGATTAGTGTCTTATTTTGTCTTCCAGTAAAGTTGAGCTCATTGTTGAGCTGTCTCACCCACTGAATTTTCAAGGCCTTGAGAGCAGGCACCCAGTCCTATTCATCTCTAGCTATGCAGTAATTTAATGGCTTAGAAGATGATCAATACATGTTTGTAAGGTGTTCAAAGGACTGGCTAAGGATGCCCCAAATGAATGGACAAATGTTGAGCTGGATCTGGGGATGGTCACACTGGATACCCATTTGCACTAGACTGGTAAGAGGAGTCTGGACTACCCTGGGGTCATCTGACTGTGTTGTACACATAGGAGGCAGATCATAGGGTTCAGGTGATAACTGCTCATGCCCGACTCCAGGCCCATTCTTTACTTTGGAATTCATGTTAAAGGGACAGACTCTCCTGGATCACTTATGGTGCATGTCTGCATTCATGGAAGAAAGGCCTTTCCTGGCTCCCATATGAACATGAGGTTTGTTCCACCATGCTTCTTGTTCTGGTTATGGCTGGCTTGACAGTGTCCTGTAGGAGCAAATGCTCTGTGGAGACAGAGGGTAAGGTTGGGAAGCATCTTTTTAAAATATATTTTTTGTTGAAGCCACCAAGTCATGGATTCTCAGCCACTTGATCTCTTTTTGTTATTGTTTTTTTTTTTTAAAGGGGAGGGGAGTTAATCCTTTCCCTAGGCATGGGTTTCACATCATAATGTTCTTATAATTTCATTTTATTATAAAGTCTGTTTTTTTTAAAAAAGAGAGAGAGAGAGAGATTTTTTTAATATTTATTTTTTAGTTTTCAGCGGTTTTTGTTTGTATGTGGTGCTGAGGATCGAACCCGGGCCGCACACATGCCAGGTTGAGCACGCTACCGCTTGAGCCACATCACCAGCCCTATTTTTGTTATTGTTGTTGTTGATGGATCTTTATTTTATTTGCTTATTTATATGTGGTGCTGGGAATCGAACGCAGTGCCTCCTGCATACAAGACAAGCACTCTATTGCTGAGCTACATCTCCAGCCCCGCCCCTCAATCTCTTATATTTTTGATCTTTGAAGCCACCTTTGTGGTAAGTCTTATGGCCATCATTTTGTAGCTGAAGAATATGAGACTGAATGAAGCTAGTGTCTTGCCCAACGTTACACAGCTAAGCAAATAATGAAGACAGGATTCAGTCTCAGATCAGTAGGTCCCCAAAGCATCTTTTTTTTTTTTTTTAATGGTTGAAGACTTCCGGTTTATTTATTTAATTTTTTTTTTTGAATTTTTAAATTTATTTTTTAGTTTTCGGCAGACACAACATTTTTGTTTGTATGTGGTGCTGAGGATCGAACCCAGGCCGTACACATGGCAGGCAAGCGCGCAACCGCTTGAGCCACTTCCCCAGCCCCTCCCCAAAGCATCTTAAAAGAAAAATACACAGAAGAAATGTGGGCTTCCTTTCCCCTATAAAATAGAATTATATTTATAAAATGATGAATTGGATATTTAAGGTAAGTTGTTTCTAAATTATTGTTTATCTTTAATCTCTCAAAAACATTTGCATAAATGACAGAAGGAAGGGGTAGAAAAATATAATTCCTCTACAACTATTGGACTGAATTTCTCAATATTTACCCCCTATAAATTACGCAGTTATAGGGATACCTACAGAACATTTTGCCCTGTCTCCTCATTTTATAACCAAGGTGTCATGAATTTCTAAAGGTCATATTAAAAAGTTGATAATAGAACTGGTGCTTAGAAACCAGTCTGCCAAATCCTAGCCATTTTATTTTATTTATTTATTTTAAATTTTTTTTAGTTGTAGATGGACAAAATATTTTTATTTTATTTTTTTATGTGGTGCTGAGGATCGAACCCAGTGCCTCACACATGCCAGGCAAGCATTCAACCACTGAGATACAGCCCCAGCCCAAATCCTAGCCATTTTATATCTGCTAAATCAGCCTGCCTCATAGAGTCAGTGAACCCAGATTTATAAAAAGGTGGGGAGAAAGTAAAATATTACTGCACTCTGAACTAGAAGAGGAGACAAACATTTTGCTCACCACCTGTCTTTACTTAGGTATACAAAAGACTTGCGAAACAAGACCTTTGATAGAAGAATTTACTGTTGGGGCCCTTGTGGCTTTGGGGGCCTGAGTGGAGCTGCCTCCTGCCTGCATGTGGGGGAGGGGTCCCCTTTGGCTCTACAGAGAG